AGCGCACTAACCATGAGGCCACCGCGCCTCCACCTCGGTACTAATAATAAACTTAAATAAATAATAAATCCTCTAGCCTGTAAACGTCTATAGGTTCGAGTGAGGTAATTTTTGTTTTTTATTGTCACTAACAGACAGCAAAGATTCTTTCCAAGTTTACTGTGACATGGACGCTGGAGGTAAGTACCAGAGAAGAAATTCATTACTACATAAATTCATGGTTAAAATCATCTTCCTGAAGGATTTAATTTTGTTTATATGAGAGAATCGTCCGAGTGCTTCGAGAATAACGTACAAGATGGAGTCCTCGCATCTTCACTTGCAGGAATCTTCCCTTTTTTTAAAATTCATCTCGATTAGTTTGTATGGATAAGCTTTCCCGCTTCATGAAACCGTTCAAATAAAGGTGAGGAAATATATTGTCGTCCAAGCGCTTATTCTATAACAGCAACATATGATATTTTTTTTCATGGCAACCAATTTCTAGAAGCGTACCATGTTTGTAAAGGAGCCCACATGCCCTTGGAACATATAAGCATATCCTTCTATGTGGTAAAATTGCGACTCATTTGATACTCCTGCCACTGCAGTAAAATACCTTTAAAATGCTTTATTGCTCTTAAATTAACAGGCTGGACCATGGTGTTTAAGGCTGTGAGTGGAATCAATAAAAAAGTGTACCCTACATACAACTCGCCACACACCTCTTCCGAGAAAGTAATGGCCGCTCTAGATGTCACCAACAATCACAAAGATCATTACAAGAACAGAATAGTGTTGAACTGGGCTTACTTCCACGCTTCTGAGGTAACTGGGATATAACGTAACTAACCTAGTCCAAATTATTGCATAATTTTCAAACGTAATTGGTTATATCTTGCCAGATTTGAGCATTGATAAGACAGTTTGGGCCGGTTGTTGAAACAAACTTTAGCCGTTGTTTAACAAACCGCGTCCTAAACAATCCTCCGTTTAGCTGAACATTTATTTTTGCGAGCAGTGTCAAAAAGGGCTGAAAGCTAACAGTGCAAGGATAATTATTTAATTGAATCAACCCTCTTATAAAGAAAGCCTAAGGCCCACTGATTACTAACGTAAAACTGTGGTTTGGGTTAGGCCTGGTGTAAATAGCCGGCCCTTTGTGCGTCATGCCTCATTTATTGGGCTATTCTTGTCATTCCAAGGAGCCGCACTTTGTTTCATATTCCTTTGAGTTCATTTTCATGTAAAAAAAAAAAATCAACTAACATATGGCCTAATGATAGACATGCTTTCAAACGACAGGTCTTTTTCTTTCAAGCTTAGTCATAATTTCGTCCAATTTCGCCATAGCCTTATTGCAAGCGGCAGTTTGTGTTTTGAAGCGCAAGATATTTGGTCGCCATATTGGACGGCTGGAAGATCTGAGACGAGTGACAAAGCGAAGGGGAGGGGGAAGGCTAAAAAAAAAAAGCAAAAAAACTCAGGTGAAACTGAACTGCTTTAACAAATTCATGGCTTCTACCAGGGTGGTGTCGGGTGGACATGAAATTGTTACATTGAAATGCTGATGTAAGGAAGGAGTTCCTCTATCATTCTAGCTACTTTTTTCGAGTTTTACTTGTTAAAGGAGGACTTTCCACTCTTTCCCCTTCACCAGCTAACAAATGTTCTGTTTTAAAACAGGCAAGAGTTGTTCCCTATACCGGAGGAAATATCGTGAAGGAGGTGAAGTTCAACGCGAAGGGATCAGACAAATTGAATTGGTTTTCGGCCCCTAGACTAATCGACAGCTCCTGGAAAGACATGAAATCCCAGCCAAAGAATGTCATTTCTATTCCCGGGCGGCACAATCGCAACTTCTTCATCAACAGACAATATGGTGGCTGTCCTAACGATGCCGGATGGATGGCAATCACTGGCCATTTCTGTGAATGGGAGAAGCGCTTCAATCCTCGACAAAATGTCATCATTTACAGCAAACTGCAGGGATACACTAATTGGAACCACCGCGGTAAGGCGTCATCCCTTTAGCCTGAGAATCTTACTAGTAATGTGCTGTTACGGTATAATTTTACCGACAGAAAGAACTCTGAAACCCCACAAACTCAACTACTTTATAAAACAGCGTGTAATATTCTTAATAAGGAGCGACTCCTAAAGGCAGCACTGTGGCTATCCTTGATGACTTACCTAAGCCCAATCTCACGGTTGTCTCCAAATGGCCTTAAAATCAGCTCTCTCTCCTCTCTCTCAAATAGCTTTCCAAGCAGTCGGTCTCTCGCGACAACAACAACAACTAACTAC